TTCATGTCCTGTTTCCGAACGAGTGCAGTGATACTGCACACTTGTTGTGCAAGTAAGTTTGAGGTACTAAGAGAGCCGGAAGAATGAGAATTAGGGGTGTGGCTGACAGCCTATTACTGATTGGAGTTGAGAGTGGAAGATTACTTTTCGAGAAACCAGATTTCAGGCCTCCACCAGTCGTGTACTAAAGCACTTGACAGTTGACACTTGCCTTCATCTAACCTTATTTGACTTTTGGGATTGGAAGTCTGAGTGTAGCTAGTTGAGTTTTGAGTTCCATTGAAACCTGAATGTCTGCTCATAGGCAGTATGGCTTTCCATACCGCAGATCGGTTCCTTGGAGAGCCTAATTTGTATATGTTATCGAATGCAAGATCATTCCAAATACTCTGAAGCAATTATCCTTTCGTTCTGCGAAATCTTTTTTTGGGACTAAAATTTCATCCAGTCTTTCCATGCACCACTATTTCCACCCGTTACATGGATGTGTTGTTGTCCCTTTTCATTTGCAAACCATTTGAATGAAGTCTCTCTATCTTTATTATGCTAACTACCTGATATAGATTCAAATTCTGTTTCACTCATGAACTGTATATACTTTGACTAATTTTTGTGCTCCTGTTACATATCCTTGTTGATATTTGTGACAACAGAGGGCGAAAGGGCTCAAAGAGAGCGGCTAAGAGATCTAGCTGTTTTTGAAAGACTCCATGGAAATCCTGGGAAAACGTCTCCCAGCTTGGCTGTCAAGAAGGTAATCTTTGTATTATCCATATTTTTGTTGTGATTCGTATTATTAGTTCTTATTTATGTATGAGATACTCCAATGCTCTACCCATTTGCTTTCTTCCATCCTTGAAAAACATGCGACATATTTTTCCATTTGACGATCAGACCCACACAAAACTAACTTAATACTCCATCCATTAGCGAGCCTTCCATGAATATTGTGGTCAAGTACCCTTAATAAAGACATGTTGTTCGCTTTTGGCTTGGCTATCCCTTACTATGGAACTCCAATTGTAGTTGTTGCAAATAATATGCATCTGTGCAGGTTGATAGTTATGTTCACAAAATAGAGGATTGGACATCATGCTTGATTGACCACCTAATTTTGTTGAATTCCAGCCTGAAAGTTAATCTATCTTCCAACTTGGCCTGTTAGTTCTGCAGGACTATATCCGCCAAGGAAGGACAAGCATCCGATATAAGGCCGCTACCTGTTCTGGAAGAGACACTAAGCTACCTTCTAACCTTGTTGGACTCGACAAACAATTCATTTGAAGCACTTCACGACTTCATCTTTGACAGGACAAGGTCCATTAGACAAGATCTCAGCATGCAGAACATTGCCAATAAGAAAGCAATCTACATGTACGAGAAAATGGTATGGTTTTCTTCTACTCATTTATTCCCTGAGTTATATTGCTATTTACATTTATGAAGTGGTCGATGCACAGTTTCGTTTCACTCTGGAATTTTTGTCAGGCAGGTAAAGTTTCACGTCATATCTCACCTCAAGCTTCGACCTCACAGCAATAAATCAACCACTTCTTCAATCCATTACCTCAACATGGAGCAGCTCACAAAAGCTCTTACTTCACTGTACAATCTGTATGATGTGAATCATGAAGATTCCAATTCGGTACACGAAAATGAGGCAGAGTTTCGTTCATTCTTTGTGCTGCTTCATCTTGACTCCAGAAATCAGCCAACGGTTAGTGCATCTAGCATCTATTTTACTAGTTTTGTTATTTCAAGTTAGTCGACAACTGTTGGTAGATAAAGAAAGTATATGGATGTTTGCTTGCAGGGGGGATCACTTGCATTGTGGTTTCGTCGCTTGCCTAGATCCATCATCCAGTCAACAGAGATGTGCTTTGCCCGTGGAGTCCTACAGTATATATTTTTCTCCACTGTTCTCTACCATTTTCAGATAATTTATGCTGTTCCCCTGTCCTAAGCTGAACCCTTTCTTTACCTCATATCAGGTCTTTTCGGCTTGGAAATTACAAGCATTTTCTGTCAACCATAGCTGCCGAAGCATCGTATTTACAGTACTGTATTCTTGAACCGTATGTTAACCAGGTGAGAAAATCACATATTTCACTTTTAAATGAACCACGGACGAAATAAGTACTGACTGATGTGTTTGTGTGTTGGTATTTGGGCATCAAGGTTCGGATGTTTGCTCTGTCGTGTATAAACAGTGTTGGCTACAAGCTTCATCCGTACCCTCTTGCTCGCCTGTCGAACATCTTGATAATGAAGGTATGTGTCTGGATGGCACTCCCCCAGTTTTTCTCTTCCGTACTAATGAGATCTTTTTGTATATATAAATAAGATGGTGTTGGACATTATTTCGACAGGAGTCAGATGTGGAGCTGTTGTGCAATGCCTGCGGTCTTGAGATGTGCATGGACGAAGCAGGAAATAAGTTGTTGCCTACCAAGCAAACAAGTTTCACCACTCCAAAAGACAGTCAATGCTATCCAGTTCTGGGGTTAGAAAGATTCGAGATGGAATACTGAGTTTGATTATTTTATTCACTCTTAAATGACTGATCCAATGTTCAGGACCCAAATCTACTAGTGTGCTGCAAAATCTGTAATAAAAGCTGTCCTCATCCTTTGATTTACATACAGAAGATATTCTAAATTTTATGCCCATAGTAATGTCACAATGAGGAATAGAAGTATCGCGAGTCCGAAACAGGCTCCAGCAATTACAGCGAACGCCTGAATTTTAGCAAGATGAGACAGGACAATCATCAATCTAGATAGGCATTCATAAGTTGAAGAAAGGTCAAAAGAGTTGCATACCTTTCCTTGAGTCTCGAACCTGAATTTGGCAGTGAACCATGACAATCCTCTGTCAACAAAAGGTGCAAGAGCAAGAGCCCTGACAAATTGGAATCTCTTTAGTGAAAGAGGAGCTGAGTACCAGACTGGAAATGATGTCGTGAAAATACAAACAGAAGAATACTGAATCGTAGCTGGATCAGAAGACACTAAGTTCTCGCTGCTCACCCTCCTGCTCGAACAACTTTAGTAACTTGGCTTCCAGCCCATACCATGGCCATCACTTTGAGAAACCTGTAAACTGCTAAAATTGTCAGTGTGATAATCTTACAAACACATTAAGACAGGAAATATGCCGTCACCTTTCAGCAGCAGCAGAAAACCCCATCTTTCCAGGAGCCGGAGCAACATATAACCTGCCAAACGGAAGGAAATTGTGATGGCTGACTTACAACCCAGCAAGCAAGCTGGCCCTGTTGTTCCAAGTACAGTCAACTACCTCTCAGCATTTTAGTACCTAAAAGATACGCAGCCGGACTACAACCACATCGTGGCGAAAGTTAATTAGTCATGAATGGTAGTCAGATACGCCAGCAAGCAGAGGTGTCGAAATATACTACTATCCAAATATAGAAGAATCTCCAAACTGGTTGATGACCAAATTTTCGTTCATGAAGAAACTAACTACTGTTGATTGGCAATACAGGTGGGGAAGTAAGAACGAATTGATGCTGCTCCTAATCCTCAATTTCGTTCTGTGCAATACAAAATGAGCTACAACGAGCACAGAGAACATCTCCAAGGAAGGCTTCCAAGCAATGATATGTTTGACGATTGGAGTTGTTATGCTAGGAAAGACCAGTATAGATCACTCACCAGACAAAAAGAAAGGTTGTCAGGTAGTAGGCAGTATTCAGGAGCCCATAAGCTAACACACCAGAAACGCCGTATCTACTTAGCTTCTTCAATATCCTGGAAATTAACAGAGTCAGTCCGTCAATTCACTGCAGATAACTTCACGAGACCAATGTCCTCTCACATTCACATTTCCTCCTCAAAGTAACAAATCAAACCATTCTGATAAGAAAACACAGTTTGAATTTGAGAGTGGTAAGAAAGCTGCTATTTTCATAGAAATACTCGAGTTAGCTACTTCACTAGCTGCACTAGCGCATCATATTAGATAACCTTATTTTTTAGTAAGGACACAAACAGTAACCATCCCATCAAAAGATGAACAACCATTCTGAATAAACCAATGGGAAGAACAGTAATTACTCCTTCGAGTTGAAAGTGAATGACCCTTGACCAGTGTCATCCTTTTCCCCCGAACCTGAAATGGTCAGCATCATAGTGTCATAATTCCACTTCTGAATCAGCCAACACAGAACAATGCAAGATCCTAGCTAAAGGAAAGAAGAAGAAAAACCGAACCTTCGTGGTTATGACTGTTTCCTGACTCCCTGAGATCATAAGCCTAACCTTGAACAAGAATGGCAAGAGAGGAGAACCAATAGCTTAAGCATAGAATACAAAACCGAGCTTGAAAGGAATGGAAAAAGTAGATAACTTTCAGAAGCTCGAATCACATTGTTGTCGGCTTTGATTGAGCAGAGAAGCGGCGGCGAAGGGAGTCGAGCTGGAGAGCCACCGTTCAGTTCATGGATGTAAATCCTTCTGGAAAACCTGAAAATGGAGATGGGAAGCCTACCGGGATGCTGAAGCTGATGAAATCCAAAAAAAAAAGAGTCGCCGCTCAGCGCGCGAGCTAACGCACTCAAAACAGCCGAAAACTGAATTCGCCAAGGAAATCGAGTTGCAGCCTTACGGGGGGATTGACGAAGGAGGAAGGTAGAGCAGTGGAGTGGCAGCTGCTGTTGGTGATCCAGTGACTGAGCGGGTAAGACATTGGAGGAATGCAAGCAAAAGTATCACCAAGGCACCACGCTTGAATTTGCTCTTCGGCCTCTGTTTGATTTGAAGGAGGATAAATGAAATGTAGGGAACCTACAATTCTGGAACATATATAATTTAGTCACTTTAGTTCGTAAATTTTACAATTTAGTCCAACAGATACGATGGAAAGATAATAATTCGTATAAAACACGATTAGGTTTTCCTTTTACTAAAACCCTGCTGAGTAGTTGACCAAGGGAGAAAAAAAATCTAAGAATGGCGGAGGAGAGCTCTCAATCAACAATGGCGACAATCAGCATCAAAGACCACGGTCTCCCCGACGACACCCACAATCTTTACGACGTCACCTTCTGCACCGACGAAATTCACACCCTCCTTGCCCAATCCCCCGGTCCCCTCCACCAATGGCTCCTCGAAACCACCCAGCACCAGCGGACGACCTCCAACTCATCCGCCGCCGCGCCGGTGGTGGTCGGCCTGGACGTGGAGTGGCGCCCCAACTTCAGCCGCAACATGGATAACCCAATCGCGACCCTCCAGCTCTGCGTGGGCAACAGGTGCGTGATCTTCCAGCTGATCCACTCCCCCTCAATCCCTCAATCCCTCTTCGATTTCCTCCGGAGCAAGGACTACGTCTTCGCTGGCGTCGGAATCGACGGCGACGTGGAGAAGCTGTTGGAGGATTACGGCTTGAAAGTGGCCAATGTTGTTGACCTGAGGCAACTGGCGGCGAGTAAGCTTGGAGTGAAGGAGCTGAAGAACGCGGGGCTGAAGCAGCTGGCGAAGGAGGTGCTGGGGAAAGAGATCGCCAAGCCCAAGAGGGTACAGATGAGCAGGTGGGACAACCCTTGGCTAACTCCTGTCCAAGTTCAGTATGCCTGCATTGATGCCTTTTTGTCTTGTAAGATTGGGGAAACTCTCATGGCTGCCGCGGAAGCTGGTAGTGGTGGTGCTTAGTCCCATTTTGCGTCTGGGATTTGGGGTTCCATGTGATGTGAGGCTTAGGGTTTCCATTGCTGTGGATTGTTAATGAATGACTTAGAATCATGATTGAAGTATGAATGAATGGAATGATTTGAATGACTTGAAAAGCTTTGTGTGTTGTTTGAGCTTTGGGATATAAAACCTGGTCACTAGCTTGTATAAATAGTATGTTGCCAAGCGTGCAATTTCAAATGATTGGCTGCTGTCGGAGCTGCGATCGATCTCGAATTTCCTTTCGGTCTGTAGATAAGGTCAAATGATGATTTGATAATGTTGTTTCATCTGTGGTGAGCTTCTATGAAAAGGTATAGCAATTGTTTTAGTTGATGATGCTTAATTTACGATGAAATTAATGCTTGCCCTTATGAAGCTTGCTGTCTGCGTTTTAAGCGGTTCGCGGCTTCTAGTTTTGAGTTGACTGTTGAGCGAAACCGTGCTGTTGTGGTTCAAAACTGCAAAACGGCCAACTGCTGAAACACAAAAACCAACCCTTTTTCTTTGTCAACCTGCTCTGCTGCACCAGCTTGAGCTAGCGCGGTTATTCTGTTGCTGTGATTCTTTCTGGCTATGGAGAAAGAGAGATGGAAGCCTTATTAGTGAGTGAGTCATTCACGTATTAACCCATTGTCTGTTGTGGTGCTTCTGCTGCTACTATGTTTTTAGTCCTTTCTTGCTTGTTTGTTTCTCCCTGTTTGCGGTTTTTCACAGCTAGTGATAAGACATTGCTCCCGGCTCCACTCGGTATTTCCTCTTATTTCCTGTTAATGCAGAGTCCTCTGTTTAGAAACATTCTACATACGTCTTTCTATTTGCGCTTCTCATTCCTCTGTTTCCTTTGTTGAGTTGCGGTTAATGTAGAGTCCTCTGTTTTCTGTACTTAGGGGTCGTTTGCTTCATGGATTTAAAAATGAGGGTTTTGTAATTTAAAAACCCAAGGATTTATCAAGGATTTGAGGCATCATGGATTTGTAACAATCCTTTGTTTGTTGGGATGTTTTTATCATGGATTTAAAGGTGTGGGATTTACTACTTGAAGTCAAAAATTACATTACTGCCCTTTTCTATATGTTTGACATGTTTATGATATGTACACAAAACAAGGACAAAACTTCAAAATTAACTTACTATCATTTTCTATATGTTTGACATGGTTATGATATGTACACAAAACAAGGACAATACATACTAATAAGCATAATTTTGCCACATGGACAATAATAATAAACGAGAAAATTCCGTTTTAACTTTTAACGCAACATAATCAATTACCAATTCTTTGTCCTCCTTTTCAAAAGTAAAATATAACAACATATATTAGAATCGGAAGAACAAAGAATTACACGTTCCATGAAAAGGTCAAAGAAAACTAGAACACAAGAAATGATATAAAAAATCTAACTCATGTTTGCACATTAATTGAACGTTTATATTATTCATTTATTGTTAATTATAATGTATAATAGTTAAATTTGAGGGCAACCTTGGAATACTATAAGTGCATGAGGGTATATGGGTAAAATCTCATCAAGGATTTATGTCATATTCCAAATCCCACATCAACATGTGGGATTTATAAGTCCGTGGGGTCCACGGATTTGGACCCTTAAAATCCGTGGGCCCCACGGATTTGGTCTCCAAAAAAGGTGCAAGCAAACAACGGATTGTACCTAAATCCTTGATAGTTAGTTTTTTGGTACCAAATCCATATACCAAATCCTTGAAGCAAACGACCCCTTAATTTATGGATTTGTAGTTTTAGTTCCAATGGCTTCTTCCGTTTTAGATTTAGATTATGATGAAGTCGATTAGTGGATGCACTCTGCTCTCATATATGTGTCTGTGGTCCAAATCGCATTAAATTGCAGTATGAATGATTGAGATGTGGCGTGGCCGGACCGGACCGCACCTATTGCCCACCCATTCTTTTTACTCTCGCGACATAAGATGCAAAAGGAAAAACATGTATACGAATGCATCTATGAATCGTTTGCTATGAGTCATTTGGTGCCAAAATGAGTGATAACGAAAAGTTCAATGACCGCCTCTCTCAGTCATTTACAAATGAATAATTTTTCATCACTATTTTTCAATCTTAACCTTTCCCTTTTCCATAACCCAATACCAACTCTTCTCTATTTTGTCCTCATAAACCCAATACTCTAATTATTTGCAAACAATGCTTTCCAATAATTTTCCATTAGTACTTTTCAATTACTTTCTTGTGAAATAGTTGTTATATTTTAGAGACATGTTCAAATATAGATTATGTTTGGTCGTAAAATGGTATACTTTGAGATCATTCAAATTGTAAAGAAAGTTAACATAAAGTTGGAGTTCAAAAAATATAAAGTAGTAATATATATGGTTAATTCCCAACTAAAATGTTACATGTTGGCTGAATAATGAATATTGTTTTCGTGGCTAGCTTTATTAGGATAGCAAAAAAAAAAAAAATGAAACATATTACATGTAAGTAGGGGTGGAAATCGGTACGGTATCGGTATCCCAATACCAAATACCGAAATCCCGAATACCAAATTACACCCTAAAATCAATCTCAATCCCAATCCCTAAATAATTTCGATATCCCAATCCCAATCTCTAAATAATTTCGGTATCCCAATCGGTACCTCGGTATCCCAATCGGTATTATCGAATACATAATTAATTACCTTTACAATTAATAATTAAATATATAAACTAGATTTAATATTTTAATTTAGGGCAAAGAGACTAAGCAAATAGTCTTGAGTTGCCTAGAGCTAACATCTCAAGTTCTTTTAATTGGTAATCTTTAATTTTACGAATTTGAGGTTGAGAGACGACTAATACTAGTGTGAAATAGTGACGTAATGATATTTGTATAATTAAATGACACTTTTGGTGGTTGAGGGTCGCGTAGTAGTGAATGAGAGAGTCTAGTTGAGAGGATAAAATACACACTAGCTTATATTTTGGTATTGATCGGTATTTTGCTATATACAGATCCCAATCCCTAATACCGAATAACAATTGAATTTCAATCCCAATCCCAATCCCACAAAATAATACGTGTATTCGGTACTACCAAATATAGACAAATTCGATACGATATTCGGTATATCCCAAATACCGGTACCAAACTTCCAGCTCTACATGTAAGCACAAAATTATAACATTATATAAATGAAGTATTTAAAACTTTTTAACAAATAACATATTTAGAAACGTCTATATTTGAGCAAATGACTCATTTTATAAATACACTAAGTAAACCAACACACATAAAACTTGAAGGGTTTAATTGACCAAAATCTAAAACTACGGGGCTCCTTTGGCCTTTTAGCCAATTCCACTTCAATCGAGACTCAAGCAAACACAGAAGTTTCAATTGATAAGAGTAGAATAAAAGTTAGGGTAAATATAATTTAATAGTCAAACCTTTGTGTTTTAAACAATATAATAATTAAATTTTTTTGAAAACAATTTAATAGCCAAATCGTCAATTTTTTCGTCCATTTGATTGTCATTTAATTCTGGCGTGGCAAAAATTAAGTGAGTTAGATGTTTTTTTCTAATGTGGCAAAAAGTCAAACATTTGACTATGCCACATGTATTTTAGATAATTTTACAAAACAAGTTAGGCGGGTTGGGCAGGTGCGTTGCTTCCTCTCTTCCTCCGGTCTTCTTCTCCAGCCAATGAGATATATGAATCCTAGAAAAAAATGATGATTCTGCAATGTGGCGAGGCAGGGCCATAGAGGCATACCCCAGAGTAGTCGCCCCCAGCGGCAGATCCAGGACATAAGAGAGCACTGGGCCGCATTTGAATAGAATATTAGATATAAACAAAAATATATAATAATATAATTTTCATTACAATGCCAATTGTACAAGAAGATCTTTTATTTAGCAAATTCATCAATAATATAATCTCCATCCATATTGATAATATACTCTTTTACAAAGAAAATAACTAAGTAATCAACGAGAAATTCATTGTTCATTTTGTTGCACAAATCAATGTTCATGTTCCATTGCTGAAAATATTCTCTCCATGGTAGTTGTTGAAACGGCTAGGTCAACACTAGACAAATCAACCGACAAATCAATTTGTATTGTGTGTCCATCCTTGTTTCCTCCAGCTTCTCTAATAATTTTGCAAGAGAAGAAACTTCATCTTCCTCGCATGAGTATTTCATTCTCCAAAGAATGCATCTCATAGCCTTCAAAGTCTCGAGGCTAAACTCTTGAGCAAGTTTGTAAGTAGTTTCTTCATTAAACACCAGAAAGAACGGTTAGAATCTAATGCCCCACTCAATTGAGGCAATCTAAATGATGACTCAGCAAGTTTGTAAATATTTTCTTAATCAAAAGAATGGAAAGAAAACCAACTCGACGGGCTGGCGGAGAAATCCATTTTGAGTCTGCTCGTCTCCTCGTTCTTGTTTTGTTTTGGGGGATTGGGGAATTTTTGGAATTTTTGCAAGGAAGGGTGTACTTTAGTTTGTAGATTTTTTTTATTTTAATGAAACTTTACACTTGTAGGTTTTCATGTCTTTTTTCAAATAAAATCATTGGGGCTATAGAAAATTTAGTATAAATTTAGAGTAATGGTTTGGATATGTTCATCTGAACCATTTTCCTAGTTACACAAAATCCTATTATCAAATAAAACTAGACAGAATTTTAAATAGCATTGTGCCAAATACCTAAATCGAAAAATTTTATAAGCATTAAACTAACTTTGGATCCGGAGGAGGGCTGGGCTGGAGCCTGGATTGGCCCAACCCTGGATCCGCCACTGGTCGCCCCGAAGCAGATGTTTCAATCGTCTCTGTTCTAGATACATCGTCGGAGAAAAGAGATGGTTTTGTTGTTGATGTTGGAATTGGAGAGTCGGGGGGAGCAGGGAGGCGCATATGCGATGGGGAATTTTTCTTCTTTTTCTTTTTCATGGTTAGGGTTGGCGATTTGTGTTTTTCTTTCCCGCG